TTTTTTTTTGTTAGTCATACTAACCTTCATTATGTTTTTTCTTTCAGTTTGCTTTTTGTAACTCTTGTTGCTTTCGCATTGCTTTTGGAGTCATTGTGGATTTTGGTATATCACTGTCTTAGCAATTTTCGCCATTTTTGGAGTTGCTGTAGCTTTGGTATCATTCCTGGTGCTTTTTTTTAGGCTGTGTATTTATCTGATCACTATAAAGTTAATCAGGCTTGTTTTTTTTTTTTTTTGTTAGATCATACTAACCTTCGTTATGTTTTTCTCTTTCAGTTTGCTTTTTGCAACTCTTGTTGCTTTCGCATCACTTTTGGAGTTGTTGTAGATTTTGGTGTATTGCTGTCTCAGTAATTTCGTCGCTTTTGGAGTTGCCATAGCTCTGGTATTGTTCCTGGTACCTTTTTTTTTGGTGGTGTATTTACCTGATCACTATAAAGCTGATCAGGTTTGTTTTTTTTTTTGTTAAATTCATACTAACTTTCATTATGTTTTTTCTTTCGGTTTGCTTTTTGTAACTCTTGTTGCTTTCGTGTCACTTTTGAAGTTGTCATAGATTTTGGTGTATCACTGTCTCAGCAATTTTCGCCGTTTTTGGAGTTGCCATAGCTTTGGTATCGTTCCTGGTACTTTTTTTTTAGGTAGTGTATTTACCTGATCACTATAAAGTTGATCAGGCTTGTTTGTTTGTTTTTTTTTGTTAGATTCATACTAACTTTCATTATGTTTTTTTTCTTTCGTTTTGCTTTTTGTAACTCTTGTTGCTTTCACGTCGCTTTTGGAGTTGTCGTGGATTTTGGTGTATTGCTATCTCAGTAATTTTCGTCGCTTTTGAAGTTGCCATAGCTTTGGTATTATTTTTGCTATTGTCTTTGGAGTCACCAATTCCGGAATCAATGCTTTGGTTCGTCCTTTTGATGTCTTTCATGCTATTCAATATTTTGTTACTTATGTTTTTTGTCACTTTTGGAGTTGTAACGGCTTTTGATATATCATCATTTTTGGTTAAAGTTGTTGTTTTGGTGTCTTTAGGTAGTTGTGGTTAAACCTGCATTTCGGTATTGTGTGTTAGTTAGCTTCATTGTCCTTTTTTGGTGTTCCCTTTAGAGTCGTCGCTAGAGTCGTCGTTTTTAGTGTCTTTCATCGGTTTCGTTATTTTGCTTAAGTTGGCTATTTTAAAGTTCGTTTCTGGAATATGTTGAAGGTAGAGTTTGATATTAAGTTTGTAGTTTAGAGCTAGGATTAGAGTTCTAAAGATTCTTGTAAAAAATATCCAATATGTAATTTTGTTATATAATAACATTATAATATAAAATATAATATTTGAATCATAGGATTATTTAATTATATTTGATTGGTCGATTACCTTGGCAATACGTCGCTATTGCAATGCCTTTTTAATATTATTATAATAATTTTTTAATAATAAATAAGCAATTTATAAATATAATATATGTATTGTTATATTATTGTAGCAATATAAAACTATGCTTTTACAATGCGTTGTACAATGCAAAGTAACAATGCAAATAACAATATGTAAATTATATTATAACTATATAATAATTGTATTGTTAAATTTTTTAAGGTTTCAGCAAAGCATTACAACAATATTTTGGTATGCTTCAAGTGATTGAAGAAAATCAGCTTCATATAAAAATTTTTTTTTTCTTTTTTATCATACTTATAATTACAAAGTATATTATTTGTATATATAACATATATGTTGTACCCTGAATAGAAATCTGCCTGATTCAGAATCTGGCTATCCTGATTCAGAATTGGGGCAACTGGGTTCAGAATTCCTATACGAGGTACCCAGAAACCTCCCAGCATAACAACCACAATCAGTTGTTTAAAATCTAAGATTTTACTTAACTGAATCTCAAAAAATTTTTAATATAAAATTTTTATTATATCAAGAAAAAGTGTCTATTTGAAATTTATTTGATAAATATTATTATCTAACTTTATATACACATATTATATTGTAAATTTTTATTGTGTCAAGTGTTTATTCAAAGTTAATTTGATAAACTTTTTATTATCTAACTTACATACTATATCATAAAATGTTCATGAAATCTAAATTTACCAACAAAAAATATTTTATTTCATGTATTTCTAGTTCTTGGAAGGCTTTTTATTTAGTTCAGATTTTTTATGTTATATATTATTTTTTGTGAATTCAATCAATACAAATTTTTTTAATATTTTTTTAATATTTTTTTGAATTCGATTAGATTGATAATCAGATTCTATAAATTAGATTTTTATGAATATTTGGTAAGAAAAATCTTTTAAACAACACTTGTTATTAAGTTACAATATAGGTATTATTATTAAGTTATAATATAAACAGGCATCGTCATTAAGTTACAATATAAACAGGCATTGTTTTTATTAACTCATTATTAACTATAACTAATACATAAATTTTCAGTATTTCAGCTCCATATGTAACTGATCATGGTGATTATTCTAGGTTCATGTTAACACTTGGAACATAAACGTGAATTCAAATTATGATTATGTATGTACTACATAAATATCTATCTGGGTACTCCGTATAGGAATTCTAAATTCGGCTACCCCGATTCTAAATTGGAACAGCCGGATTCTGAATTGGGCGGATTCCTATCCGGGGTACAACATATATATTATTAATAAAAGTCATAATAATGACAAAATTATACTCTTCAGGCTATATTATATAGATTATATTGCATTATTAATTGTATTAAAAATGTGCAGCAATAATAATAGTTTAAAATTTAAAATTGTTAGTCTTTTTATTAGTATTTTTATTTAAAAAAGAAAGTTAAACATAGCGAAATTTGTTTATCTACAAGATAATAGCTTATTTTAGAGAAACAATTCTAAAAGTTGAGTTCTTTATATCTTTATTTAGAAAAAATACTAATATTGAAGAATATAAGGGCAGTGTCATTTATTAACTGATTTTTTTTTATCAGAGGCTTACTCCCCTTCCCTAGTTTTTAATATATAAATTATCAGGTCTTACATATAAAATTTCAATTTTTTTGACCCCCCCCCCCTAGAAAATCACCTGATAATTGTTAGCTTCCTAACAAGTTATAGTTTAATACAAACTAAAATAGCTCTTATTGTTGATATAAAAAGGTTCTTGTATACATAATACAGTTAGGGAATATACCAAAAATAGATATTAAAAATTACATCTTTTATGATATAAGGAAATTGATTAGAAAATTCTAGATTTTATGGTATATGAGTATTAACCAATCAAATTTATTAAAACTCTATATACTATACAGATATATGAATGAATAACTTTAGCAAAGCTATAAGCAAAGCTTCCTTTTTATTAACATTTTAAATAATAATTTTATTCTGCTTAGTTGTTGCTACCTTTAACTATTCTATATTACAATGTTTAATTTGTACTATCAAATAATATCACTGTATATGCAGTGTTATTTAACAGTATTACCCATATACTGATTTGCAATCTAAAGCTACTTTAAATATCTTGAACATTCTCTTCTGCAAGCCATATTGATATCTATACAATATTTAAAATTAAAATATAAAAGTTGTAGTATTTAAATCTTCATTTAAATATAAATACAAAAAATATATACATTCAGTCATCTTAAGTTGTCTAATGACAATTCTTAATCTCTAATATGAAGTAAATACTTTTTTTTAGCCTCTTATTTACTTTGGCAAAAAGGGTTTGCTGCTGTTAATTAATTTTGATTATCAAAACTAGGCATCTTGAAGTATGTGTTCGAAGCTTACTAGATCTTAATAACTATCAAAAATTTTTTTTTCAAATTGTATGATGTTTGAGAAATAAAAGACACGTGAAAGCCAATCAAATTCAGAAATCCATTGTAGATCATTCTAGAACATGATTTCTTAATTTAGTATTTCCCCTAACTGTAATATTAACCCAATTAATATTGAAATATACATATTCGATTATAGAGCCAATTTAGTATTAATTATAAGCAAGTGATCAAGAAAAAAAAAAAGTTTGATTTATACAATTTAAAAGTAAAGAAAAGCAAAAATAGAATTCTCTTAATTTAAAAAAAAAAATCAAAAATTAAATTCTTTTAATTAAAAAAAAAAGAGCAAAAGCTCAATTTAAAAAAAAAAAGAGCAAAATAGTATTTCTATGAACCTGAACTAAACTAAACTTTGGTCAAATTCAGATTCAGGTTCAGTATTAAACTTTTAAGTCAAGTTTATATTTAGTTTGGATTTAGTATTAAACTTTTGAGTCAAATTCATGCTTAGTTCAGGTTCAGTATTGAACTTTTAAATCAAATTTATGTCCAGTTTAGGTTTAGTGACAAAATATAGTAAAATTTTTGAATTTAGAGTTTTTCAACCAGGATGCAAATCATCTAACTCTTCTTGTAGATCTCTAAAACTAACTTCTTTAAGCAAACAAATTAATTTTTCTTAAAATTTTACTAAGTTAACCTACTTCCGGCTTTTAAATAAACTTCTTTTACTTAAAATTTTGCTCCTAGGCAATATAAAATTTATTTTATTTTTAATTCTATACAAAACTATTTTACAATTTTCTAAAATTAGTACTCTTTATGAATCTATCTTTAATTTCTTAAAATTTTACTAAGTAAATTTAATTTCAACTCCTAAACAAACTTGTTCTACTTAATTTTCTACTTCTAGATGGTATACTATTAACAAAAAATTAATCCTTTTTTACAAAAAATTTTTTATATTCTTCTTTAAAACATACATCTTAATTTTCTTAATAACTAATAAGTAAAGCTTATATATCCAGCTCACTGAAACAAATAGTTCAATATAAATTCAGAGAACAGTCAACAACTCTTTCCGATGATCATCTGGACCACCACTTTCCAAAAATTTTTTACAAAAAAAAACACCGGACGTTGGGGCACTTCAATAAAATGTTGAGGTTTAAATCATAAGACATGAGAAAATGGCTTGCAGGACAGCTCTTGTCGTTTAGAGGTAGTTCTCATATGCTACCTGCCGACTTGTTTCAGAGTTTATCACTCACTGTTCTTGCAACACGGCACTTGTCGTTTAGAGATGGTTCTCATATGCTACCTGCCAACAAGCTCAGAGTTTATCACTTACCGAAAAAAGTAAATACTGTGCAAGTCATGGGCGGAGAGTTTAATCGAAGTAAAGAAAACTTACGCTCTTTTGGTGCTCTCCTATTGGTTTTTTTACCTTTCTCTCGCTATTTGTGTTCTTACCATAATTTTCGAAAAAATTGGGCATTTTGGCTTACCCTCTTCAAAAGATCAGCATTGTTTACTCTTACCAAATCAGGATAGACTCAGTAGAAAGCAACTATGTGTTTTGTTGACTTACAAATGCGGTGCTACAGTACGGGGATAGATACAGTACTCTTGTTTAGGAGATACCCGAGTTGAGTCGATGTGTGGAACGAGTCCTAAAAATAAGATGAATATTTTATAACAAGATATAATAGTTATTATATAATTTTTATTACCAAGGTGCCTGTTATGGCTACTTTCTCTTTTTTCGTTTTTTTTATCTCTGTTCAATTTATACTAGACTACTTTAGAATTTTGTTTCTTTTTTTGTTTTTTTTTCCTACTATAAAGTTTTTTTTTCTAAGATGTTTAGGTTTTTTGTAAACATGGCTTTAAATTTTTTCTTTTATATATAAATAAGGGTTAATAATTTAGTTGGGCTTAGGTAGAAGAAGCTTGAAAAAAGGGGAGGTAGTCATAATGGGCGGTAGGTACTATCTGTTGAGAGCCGGCCAATATCTGATTTCAGGAGAGGCCGGATGGAGAAGAAACCTACTATAGCAAGTCGTACATAGGTGCCAATTGGAGTAATCAGATGAGTCACAACTTATAATTTAAGTATAGTTGTATGACCCTCAGGCATGGTGCATATCGTTTAGAGATAGTTCTCATACGCTATCTGCCGACATGTTCAGAGTTTATCACTTACCGAAAAGTCTCTCTAAAATTTTAATAATCTAAATGATTATTACAAAGCCTAATAAAGTTGTGGCATAATTGCTGAATTTGAACCAAAAAAAAAAAAAAAAAAAAATATTTCAATATAAATTTCATCAAAAACAGACCAAAACTTACAAAGTTATTGAAAAAAATTTTTCTAAACTCTCTTCTAAACTTCTTTTTAAAATTTTTATTAGTCAATTTTGGAAATTTTACTGGCTTGCCCTGAAAAATTCACTTTTTTTATTTTAAATACCCATTAAAAAATCTGAAAATCTCTCACATAATTCTGGAAAACTTATCAGTTTTTTGAAAAATTTATAGCTAATTTACAAATCTTTAAATATCTTGCTTAATTTCTAAGATTTTTAAAATCTTTTTTTACAATACTATATAAATTTATATCTTCTTTACACAATAAACAACATATTTTTATATCTTTTATATTAAAAATATGCAAAAAATTACAATTTAAAATTTTATCTTAAAAATTTTCACTTTTTTCTTAACTATAAACACCGGTTCTTTTATATTCTCTCACTTTTTTTTATCTAATTATCAATTCTTTTATATACAAATAGAACAACAAAACTTATATTTATTAAATACACCAATTTTACAATCTTTATTAATCTTAGACTGGTTTGAACAATATTTTATCCCTACAAATCAAACATTATATACTACTCTAACTCTATTTGATCTTCAAATCTTCAATTACTTAAAACCAATACTTAAAGATTTTTATTCTAGCTCAACAATTAAATCTTCCAATTCAACCAATTAACCTATCTACAAAAATAACTTTAAAAATTTACTTATAACTATAAAAAAAGAAAAACCCAAATTTTTTATCGATTTTATTTTAAAACAAAACCCCTTAATAAACGATCAAATTTTAATACCATTTCAAATACTACACTCTACACTTGAAGCACTAATACTTGGCCTTACCAAATATATATATATATATATATTTAAATATTTAAGGTAAGATCTTGCTTTTATCTTTATTAAACTTAATGAAAACTTTTTATATAATTGAAAAAGGTTTTAAATTTTAAGCCTAGTGCTAAGAATAAGAAGTCAGATATCTAAAGAATCTAATAGGTAATCTAAATATTTATCTGCAACCTAAACCTACCAGAGTAGGCAAAGCTTACCTAGAGCAAGAAGAAAAATTTAAAGTCAAAATTCAGTGCGCGTTGTACACCAAATTTTAGACTTAATATGCGCAAAGTTTGCTACAGCAGAACAGAGCTAACTATATTGTGCACATTATTTTAAAATATAGTAATTATTAAAAAATTATGTGTACTTTGCGTACAATATTTTATTTTTTTTGTGTATAAAAAAATTTTTATATGCAGACCGCACAAGCACACATTTAATTTTTCTCTCTGATCTAGAGTTGGAATAAATTAAAAATATAAGAAGGGTGTATACAGTATTTAATCCAGTTAGTGTACCAAGATGATATTTTTAAAAAAGATGTTTGAAGAGTGACATCAGATATGTCAGAAATAGAAAGTGTATCTCTAGAAAGTATTAATGTAGAAGATAACTGAGATTGTGTTAGCTGAGGTTGGGGTCTTAAACTACAATAAGGGATCCAGATATTTGAGTACAATTGTTTGTTAATATGAAGAAGAAATTGTATAGAGATTAAGTTACTGTAGCTGCTTGATTAGATGTAGTGAATTTATATTTGTATATATAATGTTAAGTAGAATAAGACCAGAAAGTATAGATAAAATAGAAGTTTTGTCAAAAAGATTGTGTATTAGAAGACTGTCAAGATTAATAATTCGGTTATGTAACAGGTTAATTTGTGATAGTGATATTTGGAGTTTGTTAACAGTTATGGTTTGTTGTAAAAAATTTTTAATGAGTATGTAAATAGGATTAGGTGAAGGGCATATAGCCCAGTGTAATATAGTGCTAGTTTAATAACAGATGTGACAAGTATTAGGGTAAAGTAGGTTTCTTTTATGCAGTGTGTGAGGTGCTAGGAGTTTGTCAGTAAGAAGTTTAACTCTAAATGTTTTAAGAGTAGAGAATTGAAAACTATGAGCAAAGTTAGAAACTTTTTGGTTATTGTTAAGGTATAGCCAGGTTGTGTCCCAGCTTATATGCTAAGAAATTTGTATCTATGGTTAAAAACGATTTTGGAATGACCAGAGAGCGAAGATATTTGCATAGCATACAGTTTGGATATTGCGGCAGATAAGGAGTTCAAGAAGGTAGCCTTCTAGGTATAAAGTATACAAAGAGTTATAAATATTGTAGAGGTTAAATATAAGGAATAGTATATCAAGATGATTGTGAGCTAGTTTATTAGCTTTGTTGTTGAATATATTATTCTGGTGTGCTTTAACTTTGTGAAAAGTGATTTTTTGGTTGTAAGATTTAGTAAAGTTAAAAAGTATATTTCATATTGACCAATAAGGTATATTTGAGGAGTTAGAGCTAATTGGTTGTTGGATTAGATTTTTATATTTAAATATAACAGATTGTGAATCTGTAAAGATTTGGATATTGCAGTTTCTGGGAGCAGTGCATATAGCAGACAAGATTGCAAGCAGTTCAGCTTTAAAAGAGCATGGCTATAGTAAGATTTGTGTATGAAATATGTGGCGAATATTGTCATTATCAACCTGCAGCCAACCGATCCTTATGGAGCATTGAAGATTTCCAGAGTTAATAACAAAACTATCAGTATAGAATATAAGGTCAGTGGAGTAGTGATTGTAATTAGCAAGCTGTTGAAGAGTATTAGAAGCAGGATTAACTAAAAATATAGAAAAGATTTGTGAAGCATGTAAAATGAGATTTGGGGGTTCAGAAACTAAAATAATGTCTTGAAGTTTGATTGAGTGTATTAGATCAAGAGGGTTTGCATTAAAATTAATTGATTTGTCAGGATGAAATCTGCCAAGAAATTTAACTACATGACTAGTGGGAATTGTTATGGATGGATTTTTTAGATACTAAGAAGCAGATAAGTTTTATTATTAAACAGACTGAACATTACAAAAAGGTTTGCATTCTCTTTTATCTCTTTTTATAGCTATTACTAAGCTATACTAATGACTATATAATTCATATGCTCTTTTCATGGCTATTACTAAGCTATACTAATGACTATACTAATGTTATTGTCAATGACTACATAACTTATATGCTTTAACAATTTAAATATTATCGAATGTTATTATTTTATGACTATATTCTTTATACATCGGGGCAGAGATACTTGAGTTTCCGGGCTTAAGCCTCGGGCTTGAGTTACAAGATTGCATCAGACTTGAGTCACAGGCTAGAGTCACGGGCTTGGCCATTATACCACTCTCTCCATAAATTTTTGCTCCTCTTCTTCTTTTGTTTGTTACCTGAAACAGGTCCAGGTTTATCGGGATATCGATGATGAAAAGCCTTAACTACTTCTTTTGTGTGACCCACATTTTTAGCAAGCTCCCAAGAACATTCGTTTATATCATAGCCTTTCCAGTCTACTAGGTAATATAATTTTTTCCAGATTAATTTTGTGTCAAGTATTTCATTAACTTCATATTCATATTTTTTATCAACTACTACGGGTGATAGTGGTTCAATAGCTCTTCCGGGAAATTCATTTGCTGTGTATGGCTCCAGCAAAGACACATGGAAGGTGTTATAGACTTGAATGTGGAAAGTAAGATTAAACAGTATGCCACTGTGTTAACCTTTTCACAGATAGTGAATGGGCCTAACTTTTAATAGTCTAGTTTTTTAGATGGCCGTTTAGTATGTATGTTGCGTCATAATAGCCACACCTAATCACCAATCTTAAAATTAGAACCCTCTATACGAAATCGGTTTGCATTTTTTTTGTAATTGTCTTGCACGATTTTTAGCTTATCAATTAGTGTCTTTTTTATTTGTTGTAATTGTTTAGCTTTGTCTTCAACAGATGGGACCAGAAAGCAAAAGGGTACCTAGAGATCAAAGTGTGGGTAAAACCTATAGTTAGCAAAAAAAGGTGAGGTTTTTGTGGATGCATGGATTGAATTATTATATGCGAACTCTGCCAATGAGAGTAAGTCCATTCAGTTATCTTGGTGATAGTTAATTGTATATCTGAGATATTGTTCTAACACTTGGTTTAACTCTCTCACTTTGACAATCTGATTGAGGATGATAAACCAATAATAAATTAGCTCGAGTTCCTAGGGCCCTAAGTAAATACTTCCAAAATTTTGAGGCAAATTGGGGCTCTCTATCAGAGATAATCTCTTCTGAAACACCATGTAATCGTATCACTTCTCTGAAAATTATTTGTGCTGTTTGTTCGGCACTAATGCTCTTATTATATGCTATAAAATGTGCTATTTTGGTTAACCGGTCTACTACAACAAGAATAGAGTCAAAACCTGCTGATGGAGATAAATCTGTAATAAAATCCATAGAAATGGATTGCCATTGACATGAAGGTATAGGTAAAGGTACCAACAATCTGTGGGGTTTGTGTCTAGGATGTTTAGACCTTGCGCAGATCTTACAGGTTTTTATATACTTTCGTATAAAAGATCGAAGCCCAGTTACCAAAAGTTCTGTGTCACCAGTTCTACCATTTTGGCAACTCCAAAATGTCCAGCTAATTTAGAGTCATGTCTGGTTTGTAATACTTCTAACCTCTCTGGTACTTTTGGTATATATAATAAACCTTCCCTGAATAGTAATCTATCCTCTAAATGGAATTTGTGATAATCGGAACATGCACCTATGTCATCACTGTAGTTTGTTAGCTGGTTAATTACATCAACCGCAAGAGGGTCTGTTTTAATTTGTTCCTGAATACAGCTTCTTAAAGTTGTGTCAATAGGGGTCATGAGTGTGGCATTGATACAGAGGTTTTCTGCCTTAAGTAATATAGTGTGTTGCTGTTTTACTACTTCATTACCATCTTGGGGTTGGTAGTCTGGTCTTTAGGATAAAGTATCAGATTTTCCCTGTTTTTTACCTGGCCGAAATGCAATCATAAAATCATAGCTCGAGAGGAGGAGGGACCACCTGGCCTGGGAGTGGCTAAGATTTTTTGCAGTAGTAAAGTATTGCAGATTTTTATGATCGCAATAGACAGTTATTTAATGTTGAGCTTCTTCTAAGTAATGTTGCCATTGTTTAAAAGTGCCACAATTGCGAGCAACTCTTTGTCATGTATATTATAATTTATTTTTGCCGGTGTGAATTTCCATGAATAATAGGCAATAGGGTAATACTCCTCTTTGTTTTGTTGCATTAGGACCGCTCCCAAAGTGTAATCAGAAGCATTTGTTTCCAGAAAGTAAGGTTGGTTTGGGTCAGCCTAAATCAGTATTGGTGCTGATGTGAAAGTATCTTTCAGTGTAGTGAAAGCTTGTTGAGCTTTTAGGGACCAACAAAACTCGTCCAAGCTCTTGGATTTCTGAGTTAGGTTTGTTATAGGGGTAACTACTTTTGCGTAATTTTTGATGAAGTGCTGGTAGTAATTGGCAAACTCTAAAAACCTCTGTACTTCTTTTACATAAGTAGGAACGGGCCAAAAGAAAAGGCTTTAACTTTACTTGGGTCCATTTGAATTTCCTTATGAGTAATGTAATACTTTAGAAAATCTATACTTTCTTTTTCGAATTCACGCTTTTTTAGTTTTGCATATAGGCCCTGCTGTCGTAGACTTTCTAGTACTAAGTGTATATGCTGCCGGTGCGCTTCTAGGTTTGGTGAGTATATCAAAACATCATCCAAATAAATAACTATGAATTGATTCAGAAAATCTCGAAAAATATCATTCATCAAGTGCTAAAACACAGCTGGAGTATTGGTGAGTCAAAAGGCATTACTAGGTATTCAAAATGCCCGTACCAAGTACAAAATACTGTTTTCCATTCATCACCGGGCTTAATTCGGACCAAATTATAAGCACCTCTTAAGTCAAGCTTGGTAAAGAACTTGGCGTCAGCAAGCCTATTAAGTAACTCTGGTATTAGGGGAAGAGAGTATCGATTCTTGATAGTAATTTGGTTTAATCCCCGATAATCAACGCACATATGTAAGGACTCATTCTTTTTTTTAACAAAGAGAATTGGTGCCTCTGCTGGAGACTTTGAATATCATATAAAGCCTTTTTCCAGGTTTTCCTCAATATAGAGCTTTAATATTTCGAGTTCCTGGGTGGATAGCCTGTAAATAGGACTCCAGAGGGGTTGTTTACCTAGCAATAAGTTGATAGCACAATCATATGGGCGATTATTTGGTAATTTATTAGCTTTGTTTTTACTGAAAACATTGCTAAACTTTTGATAAGTTTCAGGTATAGCAGAAGGTAAATCCAAGATGCTAGAACTAAAAGCTATGGTTGTAAAAACTCTTACTACAAATAGCTGTTCTTTTGGAGTAGAGCTGGTTTCTTGGGTTTGAGAGTTTTTGGTATGCGTGTGGCAGGCCAGGTCACAGAATGTGATAGAGTGCTCACACCAGTTGATTGTAGGGTTATGCATGGATAACAAAGGCAAACCCAGAATTATTTGATAATAAGGGGATGGGATAAGATTAAATATTAGTTCTTCATAATGGTCTTGGAAATGCACAATTATTGGGTTTGTTTCATGAGTGATGTTTCCAGAAAAAATTTCTCGACCATCGATCACTTCTACTGATAATAGAGTATCTTTCTCTTGGATTGATATATTTTGTTCTTGGGCAAATGTAGTATCCATGAAACATGCGGTTGCTCCTGAGTCAATTAGAGTCTGAGCCATTATTTCTGGACCATCTAGTAAGTATAAACCCATCTCCAGAGTAATTGTGTTCTTTGAGGGGTTGAAAAATATTCCTTTTGGGGGTAGACTAATTTCTTTATCTAGCTGAGTCCCCCTTACTGCGACTGGGGCTGATCTTTTCCTGACAATTCTTTTGGAACTACTATGGTATCGATCTTTGGTCATACATTGCCCTTGTTGAGACAGTTTTTAACAATGTGCCCTGGTTCTCCACAGTATAAGCAAAGTCTTTTTTCTTGGCATCATCTTTTTTTTTCATCGGTTAACAGTTTGTATCTCACAGTATCTATCTGTATAGGTTCGGAAGTAGATGTTGCCGAGTTAGAGGGCCTTGGTATTGGTATCTTTCAGAAGTTAAATCTCTGAAGCGTTCTTGTTTATGTTCAAACAATCTATTGTCACACCGCATAGCCTTCGAAACTGCATCATTTAACATTGTAGGATCTTCTAAGATAAGGAGTAAATCCTTTACATCATTTCTAAGGCCTGTTCTAAACTGATTGATTAAAGCTTCCTTGCCCTAGTTTAGGTCTTCTGCGATTTGCCAGAATTTTGAAGCATAGCTTGAGGCTGGCTTTGAGCCCTGAGTGAGTTTTTGAATTTTGTTTGCTGCTGTTCTGGATTTATCTGAATCTCTGAAAGTGGTTTTAAAATTTTCGACAAGCTCTCTGAAGTCCTCGAGTAATGGGAATCATTGCTCTAATAGTTGAGTGAACAAAGTCAGTGCTGGGCTCATAAGTAGACGTCCGAGTAGTCCTACTTGAGATCGGTCGTCTGGGTAACGACTGGGTTGCATCCTTATGACCAGGTGGACTTGGTTCAGAAAACCCCTAAATTTTGCTTGTATTCCGTCAAACTTGTCTGGAAAACTGACCTTAGGTTCTCTATAACAAATTTCCGCACCTCCTTAAGCGCAAAACTGGTCAAGTATGTTTCTGAGATCTGTATTTTCTTGGTGAAGTGCTTGGGCTTCCAACTGAAGTTGGTTTAAAGCTGTCAAAATAGCGTTGAGGTCAGAAATAGCATTGATTTCAGGTTGACGTTGATCTTCCATTTTTTTTTTTTTTTGTGTTTTGTGTTTTTATGTTTGTGTTTCTATATTATTGCAAGATTGGATTCTAGAATAGAGAGAAAAAATAAGCTGAAGTTGATTGGGGCTCTCTTTTTTTTTTTTAATACTAGAAAAGTGTGTGTACTAAGAAGTAGAAGCGGGAACAATGAGGTTAGTTTGTTTAAACTATTACGAACAGATTTTTTAGATACTAAAAAGCAGATAAGTTTTATTATTAAACAGACTGAACATTACAAAAATGTTTGCATTTTCTTTTATCTCTTTTCATAGCTATTACTAAACTACACTAATAACTATATAATTCATATGCTCTTTTCACAGCTATTACTAAGCTATACTAATGACTATATAATTCATGTGCTTGAGCAATTTGACTATTACTGTTATTGTCAATGACTATATAACTTATATGCTTTAGCAATTTAAATATTATCGAATATTATTAATTTATGACTACATTCTTCATGTATCAGGGCAGAGATACTTGAGTTCCCAGGCTTAAGCCTCAGGCTTGGGTCACAGGATCGCATCAGACTTGAGTTACGGGCTAGGGTTATGGGCTTGGCCTTACAAAAATAAGAATAGTACATTTATTATTAATAAAATTAGAATTAAGAGAGCAGTTAGAATATGAATTTGAAGTTATGTTGGGAAGGATATAAAGGTGAAGAAGTAGTTATAAGGTTGCATTGCCAGTAAATAATTAGTACATGTTCAGAATTTGTAGATTGGTGACAAGCTTTGCCAACTACAATTTGATTATTGAGTATTGTTATAAGCCAAGGTTTAGAGTGTTTTGAAAAGTAACCGGTATTATAGCTATAATAATTTGTAGAAGATAATTGTAATTGAGAAGAAGTAATAGTAGAATTTTCAAGAAATTTGAACTATTGTGGAGTTTTCCCTTTAGGGATTTTGTTAAGCCTTGAAGAAATATAGTTCCAGTCAAGAAGGCAAGAGTTATTAGAAGTGGTAAGTTGGTCAAGAAAGAGT